GGTCCCACTTCTAAGGTTCTAAGATAGTCGCAGGAAGACCCCTAAGGCTAGATCCTAACTCCTACGAGGAATACTAGACCTCACAAAAAAATTGAGGTCAACACAAACCTGATGACAACCAACTTGAGGAGGGAAACACCACAAGATAGGAGTTGATGTCTGCCCCTGGGAACCCTTCTCCTGACTATACTACAACGGATAATGTTTGGACCGAAAATCAGGATAGCACCGCAGCTCCTATTCAGGAAGCATCAGGTGCAGAGGTGACAATTCACACTTCACATACACTGGAACCTATCGTTGTAGCAACGGCTGTCTTTCCTTCTACTACGGTTCTAATATCTAATCAGACTGATGATCACATGAGTCAGTCTTCTGATGAAGAATGGCAGGTTTACACTTCTCGATGGAAGAAGAAGACTGGGGGCACATTCCAACTTGGAAACTTAATGGATGATACTTTGGTTACTCCTGACACTGGCACGACACTTCAAAGTTTGTTATCTGACTCAGCTCCTAAAACTAAAAGAAGAGACAGGACTAAACGGACTCGTCTCTAACTACTTGTTTTCTGCAAATTTAATTTTTTTAGTTTATCTGTATTTTTTAGTTGGGGTATTACTAGTTATGTATAAATTTTGATATTATATATATATATATATAGTACTGCACCCTACACTCAAGGGAAATCGAACTCCAAACCATAGGGGACTTACAACTGACAAGCAGATGCCCGACCAACTGATCTGAGTGTTCGGCACATGTATGTATGTATGTATGTATGTATCCTTTTTTGTATATATATATATATATATACACGCGCGCAAATATATATACGGGTGTGTGTGCGCGTGCACGTGCATGCGTGTGTGTGTGTGTGTGTCCATCAACCCACTCACGTCCACCCATACAGTGATACATTTGATACATCCATACATCTATAAATGCATCCATGCATACGTACACACATCCATACATGCATACATACATATCTGCATACATGCATGCATCCATGCATACATATATACATGCATGCATCAATGCATCCATCCATCCATTCATACATACATACCATCCATACATGCATTCATTCCTGCATCCATCCAATCATCCAGACATCCATACATACATACATGCACGCATACATACATACATACATTACATGCACGCATACATACATGCACGCATACATACATGCATGCATGCATCCATACATGCATACATCCATGCATGCATACATCCATGCAAACAGACATGCCTGCAAACATACAGGCATGCATACATATATAAATCCATACATACAAACACATTTGCATGCATGCATGCATGCATTCATCCATCCATCCATCCATTTATTCATCCACCCATACATACCATACATACATCCATACATGCATACATCCATACAAGCATACATACATACATACCATCCATCCATCCATACATACATGCATACAATCAACCATACATACATACATCCATACATGCATAGACAAATGATTTAATCTACCCAATTAATCCTAATCAATGATTTTCCATTAACCACTGCATGCCCATTTAGTGCAATTCCTGATTACTATAGTGTCATTGATTAACATAAATCATTCAAGTTAATTAAGTAATTAATTAGGATTAATTAAATTATTATTTCAAATTTTATAAATCAAAAATATATTTATTGTTTTATATACAGTGTTATATATCAACTTGATCAGTACAAAAAATAAAATTTAATAAAAATAATTCAGTTGATTTTCAAGGAAGTGAAATATTATGTCAATTTTTAAGCAAAATTTTCCTGATATGATTAAAATTAGATATTATGATACTCCCTTTCATATAAAAATTTCATCCTCAAAAAATTTTGAATAATTACTCAAACAAAAAAAAATTCTACCTCATTTCTTTTTCTTTCCCGAAGTGGCTTTTTATTTTGAAATGAGAAATTTATCTGTTCCTCAACTTATTAACATCTAACTCTAAAATTCTACCAGGCTTTTCAATATAAGTAAAATTTTTCTACATTCACTATCTTCATGGAAATTTTTTTGGCATGTCTGAAAAATCATTCTCAACATTAATATGTGAAACACATCATGAATATTTGATAAATCAACTAGCAAGGCTAGTATATTAAATAGCTTGATCGATCTTATCTTTAATTTCAAAAGGTCTAATATATATGAGGCAGAACTTTCTCCCCCTCATCAACCCGATTTTAAAAGCACAAAGTTCCCAATCTCAAAATTCACAGCTCTGGCTTTGGATCATAATATTATTGGTTTTTTGACACACCCGAGTTGAACCACTTAGTGTCAAGCAATTATGTAGCAGAGGTGTACAACTCAATCAGACAGACTAACTTAATCCTGATCCGTGCAAATCAGGATGAGTTTTAGAAGGAATTGTGTCTAACTGAGTCATGCGCCACTGCTTGACCGGAGGGGAGGGGTCAGTTGGGATGTAACAAAATCCTCTTTTTTTTAAGGCTATTATTTCTAATCCAGTGACTCATTCTCCATTGGTATATTTATCTTAGTTATCCCAGCTTAGAGTTTATTCATAAATCAACATTTGATCTTCGCATAATTGGTAACTTCTAACTTCCAGTGGAGTTGCTTTTGAGTGTGAAAAAAGGAGCACAATTTTGGAAGCGCCAAAATGAGAGAGAGAGAGAGAAGGGAAAACAAAATGAGAAAAAGATAAGCCAGAGAATGAGCAGGAGTAAGGGAATTAAGGGAGAAAAAGGAGCCAATGTGAAGCAGGAGAGAAAAAAATCAGTAGCGAGAAGAAAGGGTAACCAAATAACTTAAACCTATCCTCAAAACAAAACTTAACATATGAATATGATTCGTTTTTCTTATTGCAGTACCTTTCCGTTCTTTATGTACTGTTTTCCCATGCCAAAATGTTTTCTAACAGCTGTCTCTCAAATGTTTCTACCCTCATAAATCCTAAAAATTGCTTTAATTCACCTTTTGTGTTCATTGACAATAGAATTCAATTATGAAATATCTAACCCTAGAATTCAATTGCTGACATAGAATCTCAATCTTGGCAACAAACCAATTGAGAATCCCTCATCATCGCTCAGCCATCAAAAACCTTAACAAGCTTTTAAATACCCTATCACCTATAAAATGGAGTGCGATACTTCTATTAGCATAAATTTATAACATGCATAGTTGCTGAATTGGAAGCAGCAAATAAACTGAAGGTAAGCAAACAAAAATTACCTGTTTTTTAAGATCAGATTCAGAATCCAACTCATAATTAACTGTCAAACTACCAATGAATTCATCCACGGACTCCATTTGCTGGTCATCATTACCTTCATCTGAACCATTTACTACCTCTGTGGAATTTGCTTTCTCAAATCTAATGTCACATTTGAAACCATAAAACTTGGATGCAAGTCCGTGGGAGTCCCTCCAGGTATGAAGTCCTTTAGATCTCTCGTCCATGAAAGCCATAACAGTTGGCCTATGCTTCTTTCTCAACTCAAGTAGTCTTGTTTCATTTATAACTTGATAACCCATGCAAGCTGTCAAAACAAGCTGACTACTGTCAAAAGTTGAGCCAGCAAGTGACTGCAGTAAGTTAACAGCATCTCCAGCATCTTTTGTCGTGACCAATGCAGGGCCTGCCAATAAAAACATTTTCTGAACCAGTAAATATGAAAAAAAAGCATTTAGCGTATGTACATCCCTATGTATGTTGTATTTTTGTGTGTATAGTTTTTCTCGTTCAAAGAAAATAATTAACATTCTCTAGCCAATTAGATTTTGATGTTATTGACCTACAAATGCAAAATAAAAACCATTCATTCTCTTTAATTGTAGAAAGTCAAAATATTAATTTTTTAATTAAAAAATAGTTTAAGTTTTAATATTAATTGTTAAATATCTTAGTAAGGATGAATTAAGGTTTAATTGAGTCGTCAAGAGTGAATAATTTAATGGATTAATTATTCAAATAAATTATTGTTGCATTGATTGATAAATATAATTTTGAGACAAACTTATAGGTTTAAAAAGAATCAAGTCCCAAAATAATCCTCCAACTATTCATATGGGAGCAATTTAATCCTAGAGTAACGTGTTTCTTTACTTCTCCTTCTTGATTGTGCAAAGTTTATGCCTAATGGGCCCTCTAGAGCAAAATTGAGATCAATTTTGTATAGTTTAGCAACTAAATTAAGATAAAATTTTATCTTTCAATTAATGTCAATTTCTATTTAGGGATTATTTAAGATCAATTGTGTCTAATCGAAAGACTAAATGTGGTGCTCTCAGACTATATTCATCACATACGAATAATCGGGAGACATGTTGGGATTTATTTATTAAAAAAAATAAAGAGGGAGGCTTTGAATGGTTGGTTCAATTGAACTGGCCCAATGGATCAATTTTCATGCCTAAAGAAAGAAAGGGACAAGAGACAGAGAAAAAGGGTGGCCATGAGAGCATGTGTGACAGCCCGAACTCTCACCCATTAAGATATTGTCTACTTTGGCCAAATGGCTTCACAGTTTTGCCCCGTTGGTATAACTTCCTAGGAGGTCACTCATCCCAAGAGTGCTCCCATGTAAGTACGCTTAACTTTGGAGTTTCTAATGAAATTTCACCGTTACACCAAAAGGCAACTCGATTTTTAAGAGTTCAGCTTCACTCTACTTAAGATGTTTCACAATCTCCCCACTTAAATACCTGACGTCCTCGTCAGTATCTCTATACCCAGAATAATCCACCAAGCCAATAGGACTCTAAGGGTGACCACTACATATTCAAGAGGTGGCTCCCACCATTTAGCACTTTGTACCATCTAGGGTTCAAGAGGTGGCTCTCATGACATAGTATATTGTTCCGTATGGCACTGAGTTCTCATCTTCTCGCTGGTGTTGTGCTCCGATACTATTTGTGACAGACCGAACTCTCAGCCATTAAGGTATTGTCCATTTTGGCCAAGAAACCTTATAGTTTTGCCCAATTAGTGTAACTTCCCAGAAGGTTACCCATCCCACGAGTGCTACCATGTGAGCACGCTTTCTAATAAAATTCCATCGTTATACCAAAAGCGTCTCAATGTTTAAGAGTTCAGCTTCAGTGGTTTCACAGCATGAGTGAAATAAAAGGAAGAGTGAGAACAAGCAAGCAAAAGAGCAAAGCAAGAGAAAATAGTATCTAAGGTGAGGGCAAACAACTTGCATGTTTGCAACCCAAATGTGATACAACAAGCATAAGCACCAATGAGGACTTCGATCTTCATAGTTAGGGTTTAAAAATGTGAAGCTTGAGCCAATTTGGGATGCTGGAAGAATTACTTAAAAGCATATTCCTTCCTCTTTCTTTAAATTGAAAGGTCCCCAATTTTACCAACTCAATATTTGAGACAAAATTAAGTGTCCTACTCAAGGTTTTATGTCATTTAGATCAATGCTTGCAAACTTAACTAGGATTAGTTAAGGTTTCCATAACAATTTTTTCCTCCTTTCTAGCAAAGGTAAACACTAATTGTATAATGCATTTCACTATTTAATGAAAAGTTTAAGATTTGAAGGAATTTATGTTATGATTTCATTTAAGAATAAATTCATTTGGTATATATGGAGTTGGATTGGATAAATCCTAATACTAAAATTCAACCTAGTTACTATAAAAGATTCACGTAAACAATTAAACTATTCTTATTAATTAAAGAGATAATAAGTTGATCGTCATTCTTTTTTAAATAAGTGCCAAAATAGTCTCTGACCATTTATATAAGTCCAGTTTAGCCACAAAGTTTATCAAAGTACTGACTTAGTCCATGGACTCTTTTAAAGAAGGCTAAAATAGTCCTCACTATGGATTGTTTAAACCTATATTAAAAAAGTCTAGGGATTAAATTGACACTTTTATAAACTTTGGGATTAAAACAACCCATTACAAAAGTTAAGGGACCATTTTGACACTTCTCTTTTTTCAGTTAATAAATCAAGATAGAATTTCAAACCTAATTTCTCTACTTTATGATTTGATGTACAAATATTCTCTTAAAAGAAATAACTATTAGGCAGGAAGTATCTAAGTCACTTAAATATATAGTTTACTATAATATTTGAAAACGGGTTACAAACGTCTACCTCAAGTTATAGGATGCAACCTTTAAATTAAAACTTCATGCATGCCATCCAACAAAGTTTAGTGGTATTTAAAGAGAATCAATGATAATTTTAGAAAGTTAATTAAAATTAATTAAATACACTTCGGCAAAGTTATATGTTATTTATATTATTTATGCAATAGCTATAATTAATATATAGTGTATTTTATATCAGGCAAAGAAATAATTATAATAATAATAATGTAGTGTATGAGTTATACTCTATAGTAAAATTTAAGAGAATAACTAATGATTTAGTGGAAGTACAAGTGTGGTTCTTTAAACTGCTTAGTCGTATGCATAACTCTATGTTTGCTTCTAAGATTGAATCAACATTGAAGATTGGGATCAAGTTAAAAGAAAGCCAAGCTAATACTTCTAATGTCAAGAACTTGAGCCGATTCTAAGATGAGTGATCTAATATCAAGATTAAAGAAAAATTCCTTTTTATTCTAAATCTACAATATTTAATTTATATATTTATGACTCATGCTCTTTTGTAAGTCCAAGATGAGTTTTAACGCTGAAAGAAGTCATCCCAATTACTATAATGATTTAACTATCTTACAAATTAGTATTCATAATGCTATAATTAAAACATATTTTTCTATTGTTAAGATTATTTAAATTGTACATTTCAATGTTCTTTATAAATAGATAATGTATGTAGAGGACAATGAAAAGAAAATTATATATAAGTATGCCACCAACCCCCTAATAGTGCAATGTAGGGGAAGTATCAGCACATTTATAGTGTTTACCTTCTACCTCAAAATAATGATAAATTTATGAGCTACGCCCTACTGTGCCGATTACGGATGCATCAATGAATGATAAGTTGGAATTTTTTCCTCCTCAAACAATAATTGACATAACTATGTATTGCTATGCTCATGAAGGATATATCAGTCAAAGGTGAGTTATGCCTATAAATGATTCTCCTATGACAAATGTATTATACATAGACTAGAGTATAAGTTACGATATTAAATGTTCAGCACATTTTTAAACTCTTATTGCTATAAAACGTTGTCATTCCATTAATATACGTAAGTGTAATTACTAAGTAATATTTATGGTCATAATTGTTATTGAAATTAAAAGCCTGATTATGAATTATTTACAACTCAAAGATGATAGCTAGATACGGATTAATACCTTTTATTTTGAATTATTGTGGTTTAGAATTGTGAAATATCTATTGAATTATATGTTTATAACTCAAGTCATTAGTTCTTCAAGTAAGACATAGCAAAGGGGAGAAAAAAGGAGGTTTGTTTATAACAGAAGCAAAACATCTAATATTACATATTTGCATAGATTTGGTAATTGTAAAAAATAGACCAGTTACTTACCCTCAAATGATTATTATATGGCTTATATTACTTCAAGGTGTATGTGAATGCCTTTACGATAATTAAATTTTTTGTTTTAGTGGTACTAGTGAGATATTGGAAGTTATATGAAAATAGAAAAGCTAATTTCAAATTGCTATACAAGTACGAAAGGTATTTCAAGGTTCAACCTTCCATTTGACCTTCTATTCCCACCTCAATACTTTAGCTCCGAGCTTAGTTATGACATTAATGTTACTAAAAATAGCAACATGAATTTGTTCAAAAAAAAATTATAATCATTTGATAATCAATCATTGTCACAGAGGACAGCTTTAAGCAAAGGAAGATAAATACAATTACATAGTATTGAAACTTTCAAAAGTCATGGAATCAAATACGTTAACATTTTACAAGTATAAGATGGATTTGATACATAAAATATAAGGGTAAAACAAGGACTTTTAAAAGGTTTTGGTTATATCATACAAATACCTTTGTATTTTTCATAAGCTCTATAAAACTATTAAATCATCTTAAAAATTGATGAAACTCTCAATTCACATGTATCTCTTATGTTGCAGTCACAATAATCAATGTGGCATTGACCTTAAAGATTATATATAAAGGTAGATGCAACAATAAAATTATAAAAAAAAAATAATCATTCTCCTCTGGGAAAAAAATTTATGGAAAGAAAGAGTTTCCATAATATAAAATGAACTTAGATGATAAGAACAATAGACGGCAATTACCATATAACTCCATCAAAGCAAGAGCAGTGCGGAATAACATCACACGGTTTCCTTCAAAAAGAAGAACATCCCAAATACGAAGAACTACAATAGATAAGTTGGGCTGTCAGACAGTTCATATATGTACATTGGCACAGGTACCACTAGTGCATCTCAAAGACAATAAAGGAAAAAGGATCAAGTATAAAAGATTTCATGGACTATGAAGTAATTCAACAAGAACTGCAGTTCAAAGATTTATAGAACCTGACCGCTTTCCCAAGGAAGCATATTGACAAATATTGAAAGGAACCAGGGTCCTGCAATCCATGCCACCTCCAACCCTAGGTAATCGAGATGATTGACTGCATAGAAGCAGAAATGCCTGATTACCCAATTCACAGGTCTATTTATGTAAAATAAGAGCTACGATGCTATTGACTCGTAAATTACTTACGTAACTTGGGAAATCTCTCCCGAACTAACTCCTCCAATACAAGCTGATCCACCTGAAAAGGTGTTTTATTTAGAAGATTTCAAACAGTGCACAATATATCCTTAACCAAGAAATCTCCAAAAAACTCAATAGGTTAAACCCCAATAGAATATTATTCTATTTATTCTAAGCAAGACGTAAAATGAGAAATTACCTGAGCTTCAATCATTTCTTCAGAATAATAACCATCAAAGTAATCATCAATTATAGCCGTTAATGTCCTAAAATATTCATGGCAAAAAGAATAGTAGAATTGAAGAACTGCTAGTCTATACAAGAAATAAAATTCTATTATTTTGAGAGTTGCAGATTGAACAAAATAAAACAAAGCAACATTATCCTAAATTTTCTGCAAAACTGTAGTATTTTATCCATGAACTCTAAGATTAGATTGACATACCAAAATGCATTCTCTTCAGGCATCAGCAACAATAGCAGACCAGCAAAGAAATTCATAGCCTGTGAAGCAATGAAAATTTTTAATTTAACAATGCTGCTAAATTTTGTGTAGAAACCAGAAGCAAAAACTGATGGCCAAATGGGAAGAAAAATCTGTAATAGTGCTATCAACAACAAAGCAATGTTGAGTTTTTATTCTTGAACAAACTAAACGATAAATCATAAATGCATGGTTATCAGATGTTTATCAAATGTTACTATTTTTCAAACTTTGAAATAATCCTTAACATCAATGCGTGGAATTATTGATGGCTCTTAATGATGTTGGATCTCTAACTATTGATTTATTTCTTCCTTACCAGTCAACCCTTAATTGTAGAGATTTGAATGAAAGGATATGTGAGAGGATACGGGGAGAATGATCTTGTAAGAAGAAAAACAAAATAATTAGATCATCAGTCAAGTGAAGAAACCCAAGGATCATGTAGAAGTTGATCCTTAAGTTCTCGGTCAAGGAGAGAGATCAAGAGTGTCATGTAAGAGAACAGCCTGATCCCTTGGATTCTCTATGAAGGAGAGAAATATAAAGAGATGTCAAATGAGAAGTGAGAACGATGAGAAAATTAGAAGAAATGAGAATTTGCTTTCAACCCAATTTGGCATGTTAAAGGACTTTCATATCCATATTTAGAGAGGATTACATGATAAAATGATAACTATTTTAAATATAAAACAAAATAATCATAAAGAAAAGATATAACTCCTACCAATAAAATAATCCTAAGGGTTTTGCCTCATGGCGATTCCCGACGGTGATTTTATCGGGTTTAGCTTCTTCGTTTCTCTTCTGCGTCTCCCAAGAAAGATGTTTTCACGCAGCTGCAACTCCTGTCTTTCCTATTTGAAGTTCGTTCGCTCCCAGTCGTCAACTTTGTCAAAGAAGAGCGCTCCTGCCATCGTCATCTCCATTGACGACAACATTTCTCTCTCCCGTTGCGACCACATTTCTTCTTGGGAGCAGATTTCTTGCGGCTGTCTCTCGTTCAAGACAAACCGAACCTAGCACCCAAAGTTTTGCTCGCATCTTTGCGGCCTGCCAGACTATTTCTCTCCTGACCGTGACCATCTTGCGAGGGAGATGGCCTCGACGCTCTGTTCCTATGCAAATGCCCTTGCCGACGACGTGTGCCCCTCCTCCAGGTTCAACACCTGGTTTTACTATCGGTAAGTCCTGCAATGTTCTAGAATCTTTCCACGAGGCTCTTGAAGATGGAGATGATCACACTTTTATTAAAAAGCTTGAAAAAAAAATGAAAAGTCTGCACTTATTCTCACAGAGGTTGAAACCGGCACTCTCACGTCTTCTTAGCGTTTTTCTGTAGTGGGGAAATTCCTTTATGGTCACCCAAAACTGGAGATCATTAGGAAGGAGTTTGATGCTATGAAACTATTGGGCAGTTGGAACATTAGACTACTTGACGGTAGACATATACTTATTCAACTATCTCATGATATCGATTACACTCGCATTTTTTCTCGAAAAGCTATCAAGGTTGACAATCGTTTTATGAAAATTCTGAAGTAAGCTGTCGGTTTTGATCCAAAAGCTGAGTCCCCTATCATTCCTGTTCGGATAAAGTTTCTGGGGTTAAAATTACATATGTTCAACATGGAAATCTTGTACTCTTTAGCAACTGCTTACGGTAAATCTCTCAAGGTGAACAGTCCTGAACTTGCTGTCACTAGATCCTCTATGACTTGTGTGTTATATATGGATTGACACTATTCACAATGGATATTGGCAAAAGGTAGAAATGGAACCACATCCTCCATATTGCTCTCATTGTAATATATTTGGTCACAGCTCTACTATTTGACATCGTTTGCATCCTCATTTAAGGCCGCATATCGCTAAAGAACAGCCACCTATTATCCCTAATGAAAAGATGCAACCCAATCCTCTTCCCAACGCCTCAGTTCCTGAAGAAGAACAACATACTACAGCTACATATTCAGTTGTGTTTATATCACCCACTGTTATTGAAGAAAACTCACTTCCATGCCAAGACACACGAGAGTGCTCCTTTGATCCAATAACAAATCAGCCGTTACAATATGTAGTTGCTTCTAATATTCAACAATCTGCACATCTCCTGCACTCTTTATACCAAGATCAGGTGAGTCAATCTTCAGAAAAGGAATGACATGTTTATTCCAGGAGAAAGAAAAAGAATGGAGGCCGACTCCAGCTCGAGAATATATTGGATGATGCATTGGTTACTACTGGCAATGGCAATCATCTTACCTACTTATTAGATTGCTCCTTTCCTAAAACCAGAGACAGGCAAAACCAAATTGGGTTGCTCTCTAGCCACCTGATACTATGTATTTCAGCATTTTTAGGCTTTTAGGCTTTTTCTTTATGTCTTTCTTTATGTCTCTAATATACTTTTCAGTATTTTCTAGTTTTGGAACCTCTTACGATTTCGGTGTGGGTAGGGTGTCATGTTTGGGCCCTCCAACACATTGTATCTGTATATTTTTTTCTAGTTATTATATTAGCCTTTTGGGCTTTCTAATATATATAAAAAAAACCCAATGACTAATATATTAAAGAGAAAAATGTACAGATAGGTTATATGAGAGGGCTTAAAAGAAGGTCCAACTCACACAATACAACACATACAAAACTCAATAAAGCAAAGATACATTAAGTTAAAAATCCAAAAAGCCACCAACTCTAGTTCTCGAAAGAGAGCCGACTAACAAATTGGTAAGGTGTGTACCATTACCCGAAGTAACCAAAGTATCATCCATCAGATTTCTGAGCTCAAATAGGTCTTCATTCTTCTTCTTCTTCCTGGATATGTAGACCTGTCAATCCTCATCTGATGATTGACTCATCTGATCAATGGATTGGTCCAAAAGTGGTCGGACAGGTGTAGGTCGTTGCACATCATGATCCCATGAGTCTGAGTAACATTGACATCTTTCTGGACCTGATGAGGCGATACGGAAGCAGCAGAAGTATTTCCACCTGTAATATCAGTGATAGGTTTTAGGACAAACGGAGTCTGAAGAATCTCCCTCGCCTCCACGACAGGAGGTTCCAAAGACGGGAGAGCTATAATATTGTGTGGAGACTAAATGGTTGACATATTGCTTGTGGGGATAGTGACGCCTTCAGTTGTATCCTTTTGAAGATCAATAGTGTCAATAACTTAGAGTTGATCAGGAGGAGATGGAATCACTGCCTCTAGCAGAGCACTTTGCTTATTTAGTTTGAGATGGGAGTGTAGATGATGGCATTGAGAACTGCAGTGGTCGAACATATGCCAGTTCGAACAATACAAAGGAAAAGGCTCAATCTCTACCTTCTGCCAATATTCATAGTGTTGTGTGTCAAACCAGATTTCCTCAGAAGCGGAAGAAGTAATGTCTCTTTCAACAAATACTCCGACTTTAAATTGACGGGAAAGATTAAAAGTAGGAATGTCTGTCTTAAGTGGCTTACCATAAACTGAGACAATAGAGTGCAACACTTTTTGGAGAAATAATGAAATTTCGGACCAAGGAGTCGAATCCAAACCAGAATGATTGGTGGTTTCATTTATGGGTCAAAATCCACAGACCATTTCAAAATCTTTATTATTTTATTATCAATTCAGACTATTCTTCTAGCAAATAAGCGCGTGAAATCTTCTTCATTATTACTTTAAATAAGAATGTGTCTCTCATCTAATAGTCTAATTTTTCACTTCCCAACAAGGTGCATAAGTTCAAATTTCTTGAAAATAAGCTCCATTTTGGGAAAACCATATAGAAACTTCTCAACCAAATTCAAACGACAGAAGGAAGCAAGTTGAATATCTTCAAGTTGAATATCTTCAAATCTTCAACTTCTGTAAAAAAGATGGCAGACTTCTCATTCTTCCTACCAGGTTTCTTGATATCCTCTACCCACTCAAACGAAGGAGAGAAAGAGAACGATTTAGGTGTACCTGAGGCGTGGACACCCGTAAGGGCAGCTGCATACGATATGTCTGAAGCCATCCTCAAAGATAGAGGTGCAGCGTTAAGAACAAAGAATAAAGCTGCTCTGATAAACAAGGGACAAATCGCGTCGAAACAGCCGAAGCCAAAAAAAAAGAACACGTAAGACGGGACGAGCAGCAGAAATCGCGAGTTGTACCTGCAAGACGGGAAAACAAGCCACAAAACCCACGAGCGGTACCCAAGAGACGAAAAGAAGAGCCACAAAGGAGTCGTAGAGCCGGGAAAGCTCGCGAGACGAGAAGACGGTAGACGAGCTGCCTCTTAGAGCTGGGAAAAACTAACGAGACCAGAAGACAGGGAGACAAAACGGAATCAGGCTCGAAGACGCCAGAGAAGAAGCAGCGAAGCCGTAACAGTTGCTAGGGTTGTATGTAAACGGACGAAATGAACGTATATGTTTAATATATATATATATATTTATTTATTTATTTGTGTGCATATCTGTATGATACATATATAACTCATGATAAAAAAAAATATATTGAATTCTACTCTCTCTCCTATGCAGTGAGGCTCACCCACTCATCAATCATATCAAAGAGCTTAAGACACAAAGATCAAAGCTTTGTACCATTAAATCAATTTCTCGATGGCCCTTGATTATAATTTTTGTACTTTCTTTTAGAACTGTCGGCCCTTTCTGCTTGTTAATTGAAAGTCTTCTCTAGTCTGATGTTCGATTCCCCCCGAATGTAAGGTGTGGTACTCGAATTATATGTGCATAAGGGATAGTCGGGGCTCATATCATAGCCTCTGGCCATTCTTTTTTAATATATATATATTAAGAAAGCCCGAGGGCTAATATTTTAAAAAGAAAGGGACGTAAAGGTTGGATGAAAAGATCAAAACTGGAACCCTAAGCACCCGGTGTACAACACACACCAAAGTCTCAAAAAAAGTACATGTATATCTAAAAAACCAAAATTATAAACTAGCCATGTAAACTCTACGCCAAAAGTCTCCAAACACTCGATAATGGGAGTTTGAATACGACCCCATGTATTCTTACCTCTTATCTCTGGTTCTAGGTAGAGTGCTAACAAATGGTGAAGTCTACTGTCATTACCCGAAACAACCAAGGTATCATTCATTAAGTTCCTGAGTTCTAGTAGGTCTTTATTATTCTTCTTCCTGGATGTGTAAACTCGTAAATCTTCATCCGAAGATTGGCTCATCTGATCAGTGTATTGGTCCAAAGGTTGTCGGGCATGTATAGGTTGTCGCATAACATGATTTCCTTGTGTCTGAATGATAGTAACAACTTGTTCAATCTGATGAGGTGGTAGAGATACGGTGGAAAGCTCACTTAGGGTAGAATGTTGAATTTGAGACTAGGGCACACCTATTGTTAGACACCCCACCACGAGATTGCCAACTGTTACATCAATGATAGCTTCTAATGTAGGTAAAAAATTAAATGCCTTCTCTGCCGCCACCAACTGAGGGTTCCACAAGAGGAATCAGAGGACCTTCATCCTGAGCATTATGTGGAGGCTGAATAGTTGAAAAAATTTGAACCGACAGTCAGGTCGGCCAGTGAACTAAATGATACGGTTACCACAGTATTATTGGGGTCAGAGATATCCTTGTGATGATCAAGAGTGTCACTAACTTGATTAAAATAATGAAATTTCAGTTCGAGACGAATCCAGACAGGTATGGTTGGCGGTTCCGTCTGTGAGCCAAAATCCACAGTCCATTTCAAAATTTTCATTGTTCAGTGATAAATTTAAACTAATCTTCTAGCAAATAAGTGTATGTAATCCTCTTCGTTGTTATGTTGAATAAAGATGTGTCGCCCATCTAAAATTTCAATTTTTCACTCCCCAACAAGATGCATAAGCTCAAATTCCTTACGTATAAGCTCCAGTTTGGGATGATCATAAAGGAATTTTCTGACCGAATTCAGACGAAAAAAGGAAGCAAGCAGGTTACATTTGGCTTCAGTAAAAAAGATGGTTAACTTATCATTCTTCTTACTAGCTTTCTTGATGCAACAGAACTCGCCACCCTCCGGCAGCGCAAAAGAAGGCGGGAACAAAACACAATTCAGGAGTACCTGAAGCGTGAACACCCGCAGCATAAGTTCTTTCTGAAGCATCACCGATTGAAGCGGGGAGCTGTGGCGTTGAAGAATGCAGTCAAGGAAAGAGCAAACGGCGAACCCTCACCACAAAAAAGACCCTGTCAGCCCAGGAGATTGAAACAAGTCGAACGACAATTAGGGCAAATGCAACAGGTAGAGGGAGGAAGCGAAACCTAGTGAAGGAAGCAACAAACTCTAGACGAAGGTGCGGCTTCGACACCAAACCCTAGTCGGAGGGAGCAGCGACGTTATGCTTGCGTGTAGAGGGAGGAAGCGACCGAAGGCAAAGGAGGAAGGTCTGTGGTTTTGTCGAAAGGAGAAGGGGATTTGTAATCGTGAGTTCAGCGTGCGTCGAAGCAGTCATCGCCGAAACCACAAATCGGTCGTCGCCGAAAGGCAAAATTAAAGGAACTTCATTTTCGACAGAATATATATATATATATATATATGTATATGTATATATATATGTATATATATATGTATATGTATGTATATATATGTATATGTATGTATATATATGTATATGTATGTATATATATGTATATGTATGTATATATATGTATATGTATGTATATATATGTATATGTATGTATATATATATATATACATATATACATATATCCTATTGTACAAGAAAAAGAATATAAATTTGTAAGAATTTTTCTTTGTTGTCTTATTTTTTATGTGATATCAGAGCAAGGTTGAGATTTTTTTTCCAACCATTGTTCTTTCTCTATAAGGTAAAGTTTTCTCACTATCAACCTCATTATTCTTTTATAATTCTCCGTCTGTTCACAATATTTAAATTCTTAGACTTCGCTTCAAAGGAATCAACCATAACTAATGGTAAAAACTACAATAAGGAAAAACTCCAGATATTTCAAGCATCTTATCACTTGAACGAGAAAAATTTGCTCTGATGATCCCAAATCATGAAAATCTTTCTGAAATTAAAGGAAAATATCCAACTATCTTGTGGATCTACCTCTGAATCCTAAAACTAAAAGTTAGTATTTTGGGAAGAAGCTGCTTTCAAAATCATGACATGATAGTGAAACACCAAACTATCAGAAATCCATGAGCCATTTATGTTCCTCTCAACTGCAAAATAAGTTTAAGATGCAGTTAAACAAACCTACTCAAAGATGAAAAATATTGCACCTATCTACAAAACTCACAACCAAACATGTCAATATTCATGTCATTAATTACTTGAATGCCTCAAAGGTTTACTAATTGTAGTTGGACTACACCAAATCTCAATGTGTCATGTTCTGATGATCTATTGATCTTCAAACAATTTGTAAAGCATGAAAGAACTTCAAATTTATGGCATAACTCAATAATGAATTTGACTAAATTTAAATCTAAATTTTAAAAAGAGAAAATCATCATGATTTTAATAAAATATTCTCTCTCATACAGATGATTTTCTCTTTTTAAAATTTAGATTTAAATTTAGTAAACCTTTATCAATGGCCTGACACTCAATACAGAGAAAATCATCATGATTTTAAAGAAAAAAAAATTATAATGATAATCAATGGCCTGACACTAGATATATCTGTCGGGACAACTCCTAAATCCTAATGTAAGAGATTTTTTTATCAAAAAACCTACTCTAAAAAGACAAAAAATTCTTTCGAATATCATCTCGGGTACAACTATTACAAAAAAAAAAGGTACACCATTGACAAAAATTGAACGTTGCACATCTTTAGTTGCTAACATTTAATAAGAAAATCAATTATGGTATAGATGGATCCTTAAAAGTATACATACAGATGTCGAGGATCTCGGATTGATAAGTATTACATTTTAGTTTTTATTTTGATGTCAGTTATAAAAATTTAACAAATGTGCGAACTAATGTAAATTAATTTTTTATGAAATAGAATGGCTCTTTTGTATTTTGAATCATTGTATTTACGAATGAAGTTGTTAGATAGTTTTCTTCCGTCCGGCCAACAGTTCCAACATTGGTAATGCCAAGCTCCCGGGTCAAGTCGTGACAACGACATATGTACAACTTATCCCAACAGAAAAGCGAATAGAGCTAGGCTGCTAAGACATCCCACTAAAACCTCCAATAGCAAATGTGGATTACAATGACATGTCATGAAGAAAAAGAAAGTTACATAAATTGAATATGCTAAATCACAAAACTTGAGACGTGGAATAAAAAAAGTAGAAATTGATAATTGAAATGTTTACTTGCTCAATAAAATGTTTTAGTGACAATAAAGTAGTTTGCAACTGTCACCAACATAACCACCAAAAAAGTGATTCGATAATGGTAGTTTCAACTCAAAATCAAAATGAATGACTGGCCTACCTGGCAGTACCCAACAGATGGATTATGCCGAGCATAAGCTGTGAGTAGCTGCCTCAAAGTATTTCTTCCATCCTCATCCAAAGCAGGATGTCCTGGAAATGTCCTTGGCAAGTCCTGAAAGTAAATGAATATTATGCAAGAAAATTATTTAAAGACCTCATTTTGTTTGTAAAGTTTTTTACAACTTAAAACACCCATCAAAAGCTTTAAAACTCCTACCTTCTCAATCTGTCTCTTCCATTTCTCTGACTGACTTACATTAGATTTCTTTGGGACATCACTGGCATCATTTGAAGAAAAATCAACTTCGTTACTCTCAACAGTTCTGGTTTCTAGAGCCAGCAAGTTTTGGTAATACCCTTCCACCCTGCGCTTCCCTATACCAGTGAATGCTTGCCATATCTGCAACCACAAAGATAGATTAATAAAGCTGATTAAAATACAGACATCTGACCTAGGGTAAGACGCGCCTCTCCTCTAAGGGCCATTGGCAAACCACCACTAACGAGGAACTCTAGCTCTTCCTTCCAAGGGACGGAAGACTCTGGCAGTGCTCCCTGATTAGTCAGATTGACCGCTGCATCAGTGCCACTTCCGTAACCAGAAGAAGCCTCCTGGTTCACATCTGATCTCTCTACATCATAAAATTCATCCTCAGAATCATCCAAGATCTTTATCTCTTGATTATGCACGATTCCATTTGCACTTCTCTGGGCATCTCCCTCGTCAATCAAAAAGTATGTCTTCCTCTTCACACGAGCACTCATCCACTGCTCAATTAAAGCAAGAGAAGGCCTTATCTGAGACCAACATTGGGTTTTATGTATCAACTCCTGTTCCACTTGCACATCACTCTCCTCGGGTCCGAACCCTTTTCTCAGTCCAATATAACCACGATCGTCACCCAAACTAGTCGCTTCAGCAACAGGCGACACAATCTCACTACCCTCAGCAGCAGGCACATTGTCCGACGCTCCCTGACTCTCAAGGAATTCCTTCCAACGATTTGACCTTTCTTCCTCCTCCTCCTGGAAGCATAATAACGAACAAGTGAATTGATCAAGACAAATGAAAATTAGTGTCCTAAAAAACAAGTATAGCTAAAACAAGCATTGCCTTGTAGATATTGGCGTATTCTCGGTATGTCTGCAAGTGCTGAGGGCGCACGACAAATCCATACGCATCCCTGATCAGATCTAAAATCATCACATAAGTAATAGCGTAAAACTAATCCAACGATCAAAACTCCTCACTAAACTGACCGGCATCAAAGCCAAAATAAATCGAAAATATAAACACTCTTGTGAAGCTTTAATCGGCGGCAATAGAACCCATAAAAATTCCATATAACATTCAATCTAATAGCGTTAGCAAAATGAATCAACAGAAACACCACAATAATCAAGCGATCCAGGCACATTCAGCTCCCGGTATAAGACCTCAAACAAGAAATTCCATGCCGGCGCTTCCCGATCGGGTCGCGCCAGCACTGTAACCGCGAGCCACATTAAGAAAAAAAAATATCTGACGGACTTCCACAATTCACCCATAGATCGCGAGGACGAAGATATCCACAAAAAGGAGAATTCGAATCACGGAATCGCAACCGCATTCCGTAAAAGTCGAAAAAAGCAGAAACCCTACACGTGGAAAAGATAAAGAGGCGCACCTTTTATTTTCAAGGGTGAGGAGGGGAAGACTGTTGGGCTTCATCAAAGGCGGTGCGTGTGGCGGTCAGAGCGGGTGATTCGCAGAGGCGATAGCAGTCGTTAACGGGAAAATCAAGTTCGCTACAGCATTAGATGCGCAGTTGATCGGCGGCGATGAGACCGCCGGGTTTGGCGAGAGGGAACTGAACGCAGGAGGCGCGAAGCGGGACGGAGTCTTGCATGGAAGGACGGAGTAATGTAGACAATAAGGCGGCTATTAGGATTAAATTATTCATTCACGTTGAATCAAGTAGGTGGCGTTGACTTGATAATTACCTTAAATTTGATTTATTTTTCCAACCTTAAAAAAAATTACTTATATACCACTCAATTCCTACCTGTTAACAAATCTATTAAAAGTTTTAATTTTAGCATGCATATCACCTTACCCGTAAATGAAAATATATGTTTGACTTTATTGAAAGTTAAAATATTATTATTTTTTTATATGACATAAAATTTTGTGTGATATAAATATAAAAAGTAACTTATGTGTTAAAATATAAACACGATCACAACATGTGTCTAGAAGCGTACGTCAAGGCAACATAAGGTATGATGAAATGAATTGGATCTATTTAGTATTTTTAAATGTAAAATTGTATGCAAATAATAAGAATAAAGTATATTTTTTTATTTCAAAATTAATAATCTGGTGATAAAATTGTTGACCTCAATTTCGATGACATATTCCCTTCCTCTTGGTGCTTAGGATCAGTCATAGGACTTTTCTTTTGACTATCATATAAGACTAGAGATGGAACCTACCTACATAGAAATTCAAACCACTTCCTTGCTCTCTTTGAAACACACATGGATGATCATGAACCTCTAGCACTTTGAAGATTGAGACCAAAATGTGAGGATTCAAGGAAGAGTCCCCATAGGACTATTGAACTTAGGGCAACCCTAGGTGGCTAGAGTTTGGTCTCTCACTCACAAAAGCACATCACAATTCCATATTTGTCCTAAAACCCCAAAATCTACACTCAGTGAACCTTTTTCCCTTTGCTCTTTTGGAAACTCAAATGGATGGTCCCAAGCCTTTGGCTTATTGGTTGAGATGGCTAGGACCAACATGTGAAGGTTCATAAAAGAGTTGTCATTTGGCAAGGCTTGGTCCCAAGGTGCTTACGTGTGGTCAGGACTCATGACCAAATACCCCTAAACCCTAAACCCACCTAAAATACCCAATTTCGCCAAAATTTTCCAAAATTGCCAAAATGCCCTTGGAATCCTAAATTTCTAAAAGTGGTCTAAATCCTCAAGTTCTCTCCAAAAATCAGGATAAACTATTTCAAACTACTCAAATTGATCAAAACACCACAAATTCTTCAAAATTCTTAAAATATCCCTAAATTTTCAAAAATTACCAAAATACCCTTTATATCCCAAAAATTCCAAATACCTCCTAAAAATTTTCAAACCTCCCCTAAACCAATCTCAACTACCCAATGGGTCCAATTTGACTAAATTGGCCAATTTTGACCAAAATCTCAATTTTGCCCCAAAATCTCCAAAAATTCCTAAAATCCCCAAATTCACTCTAAATGTCCCCAAAATCAATTTGAATCACCCAATGTCTTCAATTATGCCCAAATCCACCAAAATTGCCTAAATTTCCCAAATTGCTCCTAAAGGCCCAAACCCCCCAATCTGCACCAAATTAATCAAATTGACCCCCAATTTCATCTAATTCCCTCATAAACTACCCAATTTTAAAGTTCAAACTCAATTTCAATCAAACTCGAGCCCATATTGATTAACCTATGGGTAATTCTAATATAATTCCTTCATGGATACTTTAAAAGTCCATACCCATATGTATTTTAAAAAGCCCATGGCATTGATTTTAAAAGGCCCAAATTGAGGCCAATATGACATAAAATCCTTTTCACATCATCCCATTTTAATTTGAATATTCATCATGGGCATCATAACAATCATACCATGCATACACATGAGATTTTATCTAAATTGGGCATGATGGCATCTTCTCCCAAAAATTTCATAAAAAAAAATTCCTTTTGATTGACACATTTCTATGGACTCATACATGGCATGACATGTCCCATGGAGCCTTCAATGGACACCACAAAGTCAAAATTTACCAAAAATGTCAAAAGGAGGTGACCGCTCCCTCTTCCTTCTTCACTTGGACTTTCCTTCTTCATGCAACAATTAAACATTTACCTCATGACCAAGCTAGCCATTTGACCTCACCCAAACCTTCCTTTGAGTCAGTCCAAGCACCCTAACCACTTTGGGACCAGACTTAGCCACTTGAACAACGGGTTTGAACCCAACCTAGCTCACTTAACCTGAAACTCATTTTTCTCTTGGATCTTCACCTTGGAGCTTACCTAAAACCAAATTGAGTTGACCACTCAATCAGTCGGACTTCCCTGAGCTCAAAGGTGACCTGACCATGGTCGCTCGACCACATCAACTACTAGAAAACCCTGTGCCCGAGAGGGTTCAAATGACTTAAACCAAAAATCAACTCACATGAGCTGGCTCACTCTAATTGGCCATCACATCCTTTCTTCCTTCCACCTAAGCAGCTGCCTTGCCACTACGACATGACCTGTTGGCCACCAGAGCCTCCTCTATAAATGGACGACCTCCCAGGGACAAATGGAGAAGAGTGCTCAAACCTTAACAAAACTCTGCCAACTTTTCACCATACCCTTTTTCAACTCTGAGAAGTCAATCCCCACCATTTCCTTGCCCTAATTCTTACTGGTTAGCCTCAATTTCAAACTAAAAAATCAGGACTTTTCATGTTCATCCCTCCAACTCAATCAATTCCCCAAATTAACTCACTCTTAAGCTTTACAAGAGCAAGATAGGAGGTTCCCCACCAAAAGCCCTATGATTTGAGCCCTCTACCATAGAGTAGACCAAGGTCGTGCCACCCTTTGATCGAATTCCTACTTGGACCTTATACCAGAGGAAGATGACACTTTGAGGAGGTTCGTTGGACTCCACTAAAGCTTTTGCAAGCATCAAATCAATGCCTCACCTCTTGGGCAAAAGTATAAATCACCAACCATAATTTTCAGCTCGATTTCACCAATTGTGAAGAGAAGTTTAATTTCATGAGCATGTAACTGTATAAATGTGTTTGTTGATACGAGTAAATATGTTCAATTTTTCATATACTTTTAATGTCTATATTTGGTGATTTTCAATGATATTGCACTTTAAAGGAAGGTATTTTATATATTTTTAGTTTCAGGTACAAGAAATGGATTTTTGGAGAAAAATAAGAAAAAAATGTGCAATTTGGAGCAAAAACAAATAAGAAAGAAAATTATGTCCTGACACATTTCGATGTGTCTTTATATGCTTAATCTCTTTTACACTTCTCACAAATATTTGAATAAAATTACACTTTAAAGGAAGTTTTTTTATACTTATTTTGTAATTCTATCTGTTAGAAGCGCGACACAACTGAAACGGGGCGAAATGGAGCTAAAACGGAGTCAAACGAATCAAAATAGTGGAGTTGCGCAGGGTGGGCGCCGACAACGCCAGAGTGCAGAGAGAAACATCAAAATGGAGTTGAAGGTGCCCGAAACGGCGCCGACAGCGCCCGAGACAGTTTGGATGCAATGCTGGGCAAATTTCTAGAAGATTCAATGTATTTGGACGCTTTTTGGAAGGTTTCTTAAGGCACCACTTGGGAAATTCGTCCTACACTATAATAGAGTGCTTTTATGATAGAAAAAGTGGTGTGTGTTATTGAAAAAATGTGGAAAATATTTAGAGATCTTATAATAAGAGTAGAAATGTTGATTTATACCTTTTTTGGAGAGATTTTGGAGAGATTGGTGGATTGGTGAGGAGATTTTGAGAGAATCTATAAGGGAATGTTCTAGCATTGTATGGATCAATGAGAGAATTTGTGGGAGAGATTTTCATCTTTCTTTTAAGTGAAAACAACTAAGTATTGTGTTCTTTTGATTTTGTAAACACTTATCTATTGGATTTGCTTTGATGAAATGAAGTTTTCCATTGTGTTTTCTTCGTACTTTATGATGTGTTTTTCTTACTCTTTCTTCTTATTAGGAAATAGTAGCATGAGAGAACTATGTCATTGTTTTCCTTTTACTTTTCTTTTATAATGAGTAGGATTCATGTTTAGGATTTTGGGATGCATGCTAGAAGAAGTATTAATTATAAAGGTGATGTTTTTTTACTTGCACTTCATTTATTTACGTACCTACCACACTCAATTCCTATGTATTTAGTTACCTCATAGCAATACTTCAATATAAGACCCGAGAGGGCAGTGTAATTCTCAATAAAGTTTCAAATTTCATGGATGGTATGGATGGTGAAGTTCATGAGGGTTAGATGCAAATAAATAGGGGAATATACTTTGATGGGCGTAGAATTGGAGATTTTAGGGTGACAGACTAAAATTCCCAATTTGGTCATAGTGTTTGGAAAGTAAAGCAAGAGCTAGCCTTCAGGAGAAGGGAAGTGGGAGCTCTGGAGTGAGAGTCAGTATCCTCCCAGCCTAGCCATGGATTTAGAGACTAAACCTAGGATTAGCCAATGTTCTTTATAGCACTCGGAAGAGAGTAAAGAATAGGATTCTTCTATTTGGCACATACAATATTTAATGCATCTCATTCCTTTACATTATCCAATTCACTACATAAGAATAGTAGTTTTTTAACATCTCTAAATTCTCCAAACTAATTCATTCAAAAAGGGGTTATCTTTAGAATTAACATTTGCATTAAGGAATAGTTATTATCATTACATTTAACATTTGCATTTAAGAGTAGTTGCTAGATAAAACACTATTTTAATCAACATTACAATCTAAGGCCTGATAGTAGTGGACTAGAACTTTGATTAAGGACCTCTTACCTCGCTTCCCTATGGGATCGATAAACGGGACTCCATTAAAGCCCTGTATTACTTGAGCAAAATGTATACTTGCATTTATATCATTGTGACTACATAGAATATATAAAATTAACATAAAAAAATAAAGTCGAATCAAGTTATTAGCACCGTTACCGAGGATTAAAATCTTTAAGTTGTTGTGTCAACTTCATGAAGCATAGCATATTAAAAAGTCGCATCAAATTTTTGGTGTCGTTGTCGGGGAAGCTTCAGTAAGAACATTAGATTTAGGAGAATTTTAGTTGAAGTAATTAGTCTTAGACTTCGAAAACTGTATTG